AAAAAAAAAAAAAAAAAAGAAAAAGAAAAAAAATGTTTTTTATTCCTGTATTGCTGTATACTCATAATTTTTAATTATGACTTAATTTATGACTTAAAATGTATTCAGTCAAGGCCGGGCGTGGTGGCTCACACCTGTAAACCCAGCACTCTGGGAGGCTGAGGCAGGCAGATTATGAGGTCAGGAGTTAGGGTCTAACTCATCCTGATTAGAATGAGTTAGACCACTGCGCCCAGCCAATTGGGCATCATTTTTCTATTATTGGTTACGACACCATTTTTCTGGTGTTTTGGTCAGGATTACACATGAATTCATCAAAGTCATGCTTAGTTTCTCATATGCAAGTTAGAGCATTCAGAGGAAAAGAACAGACCCCTGAAACTGTGAATGGGAACATCTGGTTGGATCTGGATGAAACTGACAATCTTGGTCAAATTACTTTAAAGCTCGCTTGCCAGTGGAAGCAGCCTGCCCTCCTGTGTCTGAGGACACCAGACTTCCTTGGCCTGAAAATCCTTCCTAAGGCTAAGGTTCAGGCCTCACTGGAGGCAGTATGGCTGTGCCCACTGGATGCCAGCGATGTTTGCTGGGTTGCCTTGGGCCAGAGCTGGCTCACAACTGGCAGAATAAGGCTGGCAAGCAGGGAACTGTGGACCTTGCTAAAAGTTTTTTCTTTCCTAATCTTGATGTGTACTCAATTAAGGGGAAAAAAAAATGGGGCTTTTTTTGTCCATTGTGGTATTTTTTCTCCTTTGATACGTTAATAAAGGAAAATACATTGATAGAGTTGCTGATTTGAGTCATCTTTAAATTTTTGGGACAAACCCTGCTAGGTCATAATGTGTTTGGCAAGCAAGAACCCTCCTGCTGTGGTATCAGTAAAACGTGCAGGTGAACGAGCGCCACTGGGGGTCCCACCCACACACCGCTAGCAACCCCGCGAAAAGATGAGAAGCCTCCTGTCGTGTCCCTGCAGCGCCCTCTACTGACATAGTTTAGCATTTTGTCAGCTGGCAAGAAAAATGTTAATAGCAGGCACCCATTTTCACAAAGCAAAGATGGATGTGGAGCTGACAGGCAATAAACCGGTAACTGGCACAAAGGAGTTTTTATTTTTTTAATCATCAAGTGTGAGGTTTACTCTGTAGGTTTCTGGTAGATAAACTATCAACTTCAGGAAGTATCTTTTTAGTCTGGTCTTGCTAAAAGTTTTTTTTTCTAATCAGGAAGAGTACTCAATTTTATGAGATGAATTTTTTTTTCATTCATTGAGATGATATTGTTTTCTTTAATGTGTTAATAAACACATTAATAGATTTGCTGATATTGAGTCATTTTCAAATTCTTGGGATAAACTTTACCCAATTACAGTTATTCTATTAATAGACCATTAGTAAACTGATTTATGGACTTAAAACTTCTTTCCTAAACTTTTTTTTTAACTTTTAATTTTTGTGGGCACATAGTAGGTGTATATTATGCTACCGTGCCTGGCTAATTTTCCTTTTTTTCACCATGTTGCCAAGGCTGATCTCAAACTCCCAGACTCAAGCAATCCTCCTGCCTCAGCCTCCCAAAGTGCTGAGAGAGACATGGGATTATGGCATGAGAGACAGCACCTGGCCAATATTTTCTACTTAATTATTCACCTAAACAGATAAATCAATTCATTTTAAGATTTTTATATCATTACTATAAAAGGAAAAACCAGTATCACCTTCCATAAATATAAATTACTATAAATAGGCTGGGCATGGTGGCTCACACCTGTAATCCCAGCAATTTGGGAGGCTGATGTGGGTGGATCGCTTGAACATAGAGCTTGAGACCAGCCTGGGCAACACAGTGAAATCCTGTCTCTAACAAAAAATACAAAAAGTAGCCAGACATGGTGTTGCACACCTGTAGTCCCAGCTACTCAAGAGGCTGAGATGGCAGGATGACTTGGGCCCTGGAGGCAGAGGTTGCAGTGAACTAATATCATGCCTTTGTACTCCAGTCTAAGTGTCAAAGCCAGACCTTATCTCAAAGTAAATGAATAAATAAAATAATGTGAATAGAAATACAAAAAATACCAAATGATGTTATTGCCTTGTAGCCAGGCCTTTAGTTTGCCTGAAGCTTGTTCCTTCTTTGTTTTTGGGGCTTTTTAAAAAAGTGTTAACAAAAGAAAGAGAAGACAGAAGAAATGTGATAGCACCAAACTGACATGTTACTCTAACAGAATCAGAGTGATTATAAGAGACTGGCTCTCATTCCATTGCCCAGGCTGGAGTGCAGTGGCGTATAATCATAGCTTAATGCACCCTCAAATCCTGGGCTGAAATAATCATCCTGTGCAGCCCTGAGTAGCTAGGGACCACAGATGCAGGCCACCACACCTGGCTAATTAAAAACATTTTTGTAGAAATAGGGTCTCACTGTGTTGCTCAGGATGGCCTCAAACTCCTGGTCTCAAGCAATCCTTCAACCTCTGCCTTCCAAACCGCTGGGATTACAGGCACAAGCCACCCTACTCAGTGTAACCAGAATGATTAAGTATAGCCATGTTTTAAAAACATTCTACGCCATGTACCACCTAAAGTAACCTCTCAATGTGTCACTCTTGAGGTACATCGTCTAAGAGTCTGCAAGTTACACACTTCTGTTCTTTTAGGGGTAACCTTTAAATTTTTTGTTTCTAGAAAGTACACAGATATGGAATGCTTCACAAATTTGTGTGTCACTCTTGCGCAGTGGTCACGCTAATCATCTCCGTACTGTTCCAATTTATATATATATTTAGATGAAGTTTCACTCTTGTTGCCCAGGCTGGAGTGCAATGGTGTGATCTCGGCTCACCACATCCTCTGCCTCCCAGGTTTAAGCTATTCTCCTGCCTCAGTCTCCCAAGTGGCTGGGATTACAGACATGCGCCACCATGCCCAGCTAATTTTGTATTTTTAGTAGAGATGCCCAGCTAATGTTGTATTTTTGTATTTCTCCATGTTGGTCAGGTGGATCTCAAACTCCTGACCTCAGGTGATCCACCTGCCTCGGGCTCCCAAAGTGCTGGGATTACAGGTGTGAGCCACTGCACCTGGCCAATTTTGGTATATATGTTACTGAAGTAAGCACAACTCTTAAAATGTTACCATCTCTTTTTACACTTTTAAAATTTATCTGCCTAGGGTTAATCAATATTTATACCTTCTTGACTTTATTAAGGCAAAGATTTCCTTTTTCTCTCCCCCTTCATCCCATGTTGAAATTATTCATTTTATATATAAATATACAGATATTTTATACCCATATATGTGCACTGTGGGTGTACAAGGGTGATCTTGAGCATCAAAACCACCCTGTGAGGTTTGTCCTATTACTGTAAGAGTAATAGTGTGCTATTGGCTAGGTATAGAACTTTGTATGTGAGGGAGCCAGAGGTTTACAGAAAGTAAACTTTCTTTCACTGCTAGAGTTGGGATTTGAAACTTAAGAGCCTGTGCTCTTTCAACTAGACTATCCTGCCTACTTTGGGATTTTAATTCTGAATTACGACTTATGATTAAAAAGTATCACATATGCTATATGTTTTACTGGTTCCTTTCCATTTCTTTTTTTTTTTTTTTTTTTTTTTTTTTTTT